TGAAGTGAAAAGCTGCATGTTTGTAATAAATCCATCATTCTAAAATTTATAATAATAATTCCTCCAGTGAAAATGTCCATCCCCTTTGTCCTCTTACATCAAAATCCACCAACATACTTGTTTAGAACTGGTTTGGACTGTTTTCACTTGTAAACAGTGCTTGATCTGCATATTTCTCTCCTGATTTAGACAATATGACTTTTCACTGGAGAAAGCAAAAACATCTTGATGGATTTGTTTCTTACAAACATGGACTGGAGTGGTGTGGACTGCTTGTGGATTATTGTGATGTTTTTATCAGCTGTTTGGACTTTCATTCTGACGGCACCCATTCACTGCAGAGGATCCATTGGTGAACAAGTGATGAAATGCTGAATTTCTCCAAATCTGTTCCAATGAAGAAACAAAGTCATGTATGTCTTGGCTGGCCTGAGGGTGAGCAAATTTTCATTTTTGGGAGAACTATTCCTTATAACGAATGAATGTGAACACAACAAACAAGCAAAACACAGATTTTTCAGGGTTTCTTGGACAGTTAAAACTGGATGTCAAGAGCTGTTCAAGACTATTTTAGACATTCATTTTTTTTTTATTATTATTAAAAAAGTATTAAATAATTTCATTTAAGATAATTACATATATCTGCATGATAATATGATAAAAAAAACTTTAAATAAAATAAAGCAGTGAATGTGACAAGTTTAAGTGGAAGACGTGTCATTAAACGTTGTAAGAGAATTCCATGCTAGAGTGTGTTCATTTAATAGAACTCTGACCACCATTAAATGCCGTTATTGGGGTGGATCAGTGAGATAATGGAAGAAAGATGTGCAATGTTTCTGCACAGACAGGAAAAGATTGATTTGTGCATTGAATTTTCATTATTGCTTAAGTTTGAACCATTTTATGATCAAGGTCAGGGAATACAATGAAATTTAGTTCCCATGGTTGAACATATGGGTATTGGTCAAAAACTGGTCAGTTTTTCTAATAAGAAAAGGTATACTGGAAATTGAAAAAAATAAGAAAAAAATATTACACTTTGTGTTCAATCTAGTCAAAATATTTCAAAACTTTTGTAAGATGGATGACACTAAAGCTGGTTTAAGGAAAAACTCCATTAAGCAAAATTAATAAACACAACATTATGTGTGTTTGTAAGTGAACCCAAGGCCATGGCGGTGGTAAGTAATGAAGTTTACTAAAGAGAACGTTAAACAAGGATTAGAATAATCAATCAGCCATTCTGTCACAGACGGTCTCTATGAAGCTTTAACTTCCTCTCTCACGTCTCTCTCGCTCGCTCACGATCTGTCACTCCCTTCTCTTCATCTTCTGCCTTGATCCTACCTACGTTCTTTCCCCTCCTCCCTCTGTCTCAAAACAAGGCCACAACACAGGAAATTGGCTTTCTGTCCAGCCCAGACTCAATTAATTAGGGATTCAGGTGATCTAATGATTTGTAGCAAATTCAATAAGACAGAAGCCATTATATAGTTAACAAGAGGGGATTAGTAAAAGATTAGTTAAATATGTAAGGATAGTTCACCCAAAAATGAAAGCACCACAGTATAAATCACCATCCACTTTTGTTGTATGGAAAAGAGCAGCTTGGACATTTTCTAAAAATTCTCTATTGGTGTTTTATTGAAAGTTATAAAGGTTCGGAATAACATAAGGATCAGTAAATTATGACAATTTTTTTGGGGGGGGGTAAACTATCATTTTAATATCTAGAATTGAGGTCCACTACATTCAAAGGTTTGGGCTCAGTAAGTTTTTTAAAACAGTTTGTGAAATAAGTCTCTTATGCTGACCAAGGCTGCATTTATTTGAAAAATACAGCAAAAACAGTAATATTGTGAAATAATATTACAATTTTAAAAAGCTGTTTTCTATTTTAATATATTTTAAAATGTAATTTATTCCTGTTATGCAAAGCTGAATTTTCAGCATCATTACTCCAGCCTTCAGTGTCACATGATCCTTCAGAAATCGTTTTAGCAAGCTGATTTGGTGCTCAAGAAACATTTAATTATTATCAATGTTGAAAAAATTATCCGGCTTAATATTTTATGGAAACTGTGATACATTATAATTCCAGATTCTTTAGTGAATAGAAAGTTCAAAAGAACAGCATTTATTTCAAATAGAAATAATAAATGTCTTTTAATGTCACAATTTAATGCATCCTTGTGAATAAAAGTATTAATTTCTTTTTTTTTTTTAAACACGACCCCAAACCTTTGTACAGTAGTGTATGTGGCCCAATCCATCTGTGCTGTGATATTATTTAAAATGAATATATATATTTACATGTTCATTTAGCACGGTTTTATCCAATTCAACTTGAGGAACATCACAAGCACAAAAGACAGTATGTTTTACCTGAAGACACACTATTAAATCTTGATAGATGACACACTTCACTGATCCCCAAGGGGACATTCAGACTTAACTAATCATTTCGCTGATAATTCCCTTTAGACTTTTCTAGAAAGACCCTAATACGGTTTCTCCCCTTACCTTAATCACTGCAGGCTCTGAAATGACCGTCCCAGGCTTCAACACCTCCACGACTGCCTCTGGTATCACAGCCTTCTTCATACACCTTGGGCTCGGTAAGTTTATTTATTTATTTATTTTTTACGTTTTTCAAAAAAACTTCTATTTTGCTCACCAAGGCTGCATTTATTTGATCAAAAATACTGTAAAAGCAGTAATATTGTGAAATATTATTACAATTTAAAATAACTGTTTTTTATTTTGATATATTTTAAAATGTAATTTATTCCTGTAATGCAAAGCTGTGTTTCCAGCATTGCTCCAGCCTTCAGCATCTCATGATCCTTCAGAAATCATTTTAACATGCTAATTTGGTGCTCAAGGGACATTTGTTTTTATCAATATTATAGGAAAAAATTGTCAAGCTTAATATTTTTTGTGGAAGAGATACATTTTAATTTATTTTGGGTTTTTTTGCATTGACAATTTTTTGCATTGACACACTATTTTCCTATTTGATACTGTAAAGCTGCTTTGACACAATCTGTATTGTTAAAAGCGCTATATAAATAACGGTGACTTGACTCCAGATTCTTTAATGACTAGAAAGTTCAAAAGAACAGCATTTGTTTTAAATAGAAATAATAAATGTATTTAATGTCACAATTTAATGCTTCCTTGTGAATAAAAGTATTACATTTTTTTTTTTTAAACAGATCCCAAACTTTTGAACAGTAGTGTATGGAGCCCTACTCATCTAGACTACTGTGCTGTGAAATTATTTTAAATAAATATACATTTACCATGGTTTTATCCAATTCGATTTGAGGAACATCACAAGCACAAAAGACTTGAATCTTGATAGATGGCACACTCCATCGCTCCCCAAGGGGACATTCAGAATTAACTAATCAGTTCACTGATAATTCCCTTCAGACCTTTCTAGAAAAACCCTACTACGGTCTCTCCTCTCACCTTAACCACTGCAGGCTTTGAAATGACCGTCTCAGGCTTCAACATCTCCACTACTGCCTCTGGTATCACAGCCTTCTTCATACACCTCATCTTGAAGCCATACACATCGTCCCAGAATGCAATGCGGTCACAGTGTTTCTGAGTGTCCCCCACTGCCGCCAGGCTGATATTGCAGCGGTCTGGATAGACTGAGAAGAAAGATGATACATGAAAGTGAGTAAAAGACAAACTGCAGGGCTAACATTTGATATATGTACAGTCAAACGAAGCCCTCGTGAGTCAATACATCACATGACAAGAGCATTTTTCATTTAACAGACACTTTCATATCCAAAGTGGCTCGCAGTACATATTTTACCACAGCCATCCTGAATTGAGCTCCTGAATCGCACCTTCTGGGGTTTGAACCCACAACCTTTGGCTTACTGGTCCACAACTTCAACCACTAAGCCATGTCACATCCATTAAAAGATTTATGTGCAGCTTTTCAGATCTCTGGTGCAGTGGTTCGCTCATATGATCTAGACATATCTGGGCCATTCTGCTCCCAGGGATGCTGGTTCGAGTCCATTAAACTCGAAATGCAGGACATCATGAAAGTGCAAATCCTTGGTTTCCCTTCTTCATCATTTCAGCTATATGAGTATTGGAGAAGATAAGGGTAATTAACACTATATATATATATATATATATATATATGTTTAAACAAGCTACGTACAGTGGTCACACTTATACTGTATGTATGTGTTAACATTCTGTCTGTGCTTGAGAAAAACAAGTGATTGCATCAATGACAAATTTCTATTTCTTGTTTTTTTTTTTTTATTCTGGTTGTAAATGGCTGAAGCACTAGTAAAAAATCTTTGAAGAATGTAATGAATATTATATTACCTAGTTCAAGATTCAATAGCCAACCAATTTATTTAAAGGTGTGGTTCAGTGTTTTTTTTCTAGGCTTGATTGTGTTTATGGGGTGCAGTATAACGTGTTAATGCTTCGTTTTTTTAAAAACGCATTATTTTTCACATAATTTACCTTTATTCCACACCGCTCTGTCCCTTCTCTGAGAAACGCGCTGATCAATTTCCTGCTTTTATGAAGCCCCTCCCTCAGAAATAGGCGATGGGCTCTGATTGGTTAGCTAGCCCAGTGTGTTGTGATTGGCTAAACCGCCTCTAGTGCGCGTCTAATCGTCCCGCCCCTCTCCTCAGCGGCATGTGCTTCGTTTGTATTGTAAACAACGGCGTCGTTAATATCGCTTATCAGTTTGAGGCCGATTGAGAAGCAGAGGATATTATTGAAGAGGATCGTGCAGAACCTGTGCAAGCACGGCTTTTAATGGTAGGCCTATGTTTTTTGTTTGTTGTTGTCTCATACTTTTAGATACGCTGTTATTTGTAAATGCTACTGCTTATGTTAGCTTTTAATATACAGTTTTTTCCTTATTAAAGCTTTAATACAGTACGGCAACTGCATGTGCGGCCATGTTTAACGTACTAACTAACGTTAAAAAAAGTGAAATCGCAATCAACCACCCCTTTAAGGAAAAATAATTTAACTCTTTTCAAATAATTATAATTTAGGTCTCAACTAGACATTTCTCTAAATGCATAAATATTTCTGCTAAAACAATTAGTACCATATAAAGGTATAAACAATATTAATGTAAAAAAAATAAAAATAAATGTAAATTTGGATTTAATCTTAAGTGAACGATCTTTAAGTGGCATAACTGGTTAAATAAAGCTAAAAAGAATATATGTATAATATATATATCCATTCAGAAAAAAAATCCAATTAATTTGGAATCAGTAATATTTTTCAAAGAAATTAATACTTTTATTCAGAAAGGGAAACACAAAATTGATCAAATGTGACAGTAAAGACTTTCACATTTACAAAAAAAATCTATTTAAAAATAAACGCCGTTCTTTTGACCTTTTTATTCATCAAAGAAAACAGAAAAATGTTTTTTACAAAAATATTAAGCAAGATAACCGATTTCAACATTGATAATAATAAGAAATGTTTCTTGAGCAGCAAATCAACATATTAGAATGATTTCTGAAGGATCATGTGACACTGAAGACTGGAGTAATGATGCTGAAAATACAGCTTTGTATCACAGGAATAAATTAAATTTTAATATATATTCAAACAGAAAGCAGTTATTTTAAATTGTAATAATATTTCAAAATATTACAGTTTTTAATGTTCTTTTGATCAAATGAATGCAACCTTGGTGAGACCAAGAGACTTCCTTTAAAAAAAACATTAGAAAAAATCTTACCAACCCCAAACTTTTGAATGTATAAGAATATATGTATAATGTTCTATTAATATTTGATGATATTACATAATAAAACACAGACATGGAAATCATCTTAATGTTTCTAGTAGTTATGTGTGCAACAGTGAGACCTACAAAAAATCAAAAACAGCTATTTCAGATCAGACAGTACCATTAACTCTGTTCTAGACAAGCTCCAAGAGACAGAAATCCATGATGGACTATATCTCACCAACTTTGTCTGACCTTTAATCAAGGGTTAAGGGTGCACATTCACTCTCACGTGCCATAATAAAGTGTGTGCCATCAAAATCTCGTCTCCCATGTGACAGGATCGTGGCTGGTGAGTTATAACCTCCAGTCTGTTCCTTCGCTGTGACCCTGCGAGTGTCATGTAGGGTGAAAAACCACACATGCACACACCTGGAGTGGATTTGTCACCTCATTTTCTCTGATTAGTAAAGCTATGAATGATTGTCTTAGGAGACGCAGGTGAGCGCTGATTGGGTGCTACACGGGACCGTCCCGCACCTGAGCAGGGAGTGGAGGCTAGAGAGAGAGAGAGAAGAGGGACGAGGGGGAGGCAGTGTCCCAAGATTCATAGCTTTGACATCTGCGTCCTTCTCGACTCGGTGCTCATGGCCCGTTTGTCAAGCACCCCCCTCCAGCTCCTCTTGAGGGCAGCCGTGAAGAGGGTAGTGGGAACAGGGGGTGGAAAAAAAGCATCTAGTGATGAGAGAGCGAAAGCTCAGTCCACGTTTCGGGATGAAGAGAGAGGTTACTAATATGAGGTATAAAGGAGAGATGAAAGAAGAGAGAGAGGGAGAAACGAGGTTATAGTGGCAGGGGTAAGTAATGTTGATCTGACACAGTGCAGAGCTGCCACATGATTATATCAGTCTGCTTCACACCAGTTATACATGGCTGCAGGCTTTCCGACTGAGCTGAAAAATAGAAACGCGCTGCCTCACTGGACGATTCAGTGCCATTCAGCCTGTGCCTCTCCCGTTTTTGGCTTTCCTAGCAGATTTATGGATTTTAAATGTTCAGCATTTATTTTTCTGGAAAAATGTTGATGACATATCCTACATGCAACATATTTTTGACCAATAAAATGCCCACTAGAATGACAATTTCCCTCCCCCTAATACCAAATGCATCTGTTAAGTATAAATAGATCATGGATGTGACGTAAATGAAGCCAACTGCCTAAATTTCCTGCTTAAATAGGAAATACTCTAACACAGGAATGAGAAGTGGTCTCACAAGCAATTTCTTGTAGTGCAGCTGACTTTTTTTAAATAAGTGACAATAGTTTTAAAATACTTTGAAAAGTCTTGAAGTAATTTAAATACTTTAAATGATTTTTATAATACTTAAAGAATATTTGAAAATAAAAATATTACTTTTTAAAAAATATTATCTATCTATCTATCTATCTATCTATCTATCTATCTGTCTGTCTGTCTATACAGTAGAGTCAAGAGTCTTTAAGTAGTTTAAATAAGTAGTTTAAGTAGTTTAAAGCAGTGTTTCCCAACCGGGGTGCCGTCTGTCGAGAGCAGGGGTGCCATGTAAAAAAATTTTTTTTTAACTTAAATTGCTTGCTAAAATATTCAAAAAAGCAGCTATTATATAATATCCATTTCTGATGTCGCCAATAATTAGAGATGCACTGAAATTCCGGCTGCCGAAAATGAGTTCACCGCTCAGGATTCACTTTCACGTGGTGTGACGCTCTGCTTGTTATCCCGCTCTATGCGTGTGTGCGCTCCGCTCAGTCGCTCATGGCCCATGTGAGTGCTCCACTCATATACCGTTCATGCTCATCGGAACAGCAAAGTCCACTCAAAAATC